AAGCTAGCAGAGAGCAGATTTAGACTAGACATTAGGAAGAACTTCACAGTTAGAGTGGCCAAGGTCTGGAATGGGCTCCCAAGGGAGGTGGTGCTCTCCCCTACCCTGGGGGTCTTCAAGAGGAGGTTAGTTCAAGAGGAGGTTAGTATTGTTTGTATTGTTTCATCAGTAAATACTGATGCTCCCTGTTGATATAGTGCCCAATGCAAGTCTTGGATTCATTGCAACCCTGTTTAATCCTAATATTACTTGGCTATTCCCAAATAGAGTCTTATTCCAGTATCACACAGTTTGAGATGGATTAATATGATTATAATCTTATACTTTATAAGATTACATTTTATACTTTAGATTACATTTGATTCTACTGGAAATCTGCTTTTTAATACTTTTGAACACCTAGTTCTCAGGAAACAGAGATGGATTAATATGATTATAATCTTATACTGTCCATTTGCTTCTACTGGAAATCTGCTTCTTAATACTTTTGAACACCTAGTTCTCAGGAACAGTGAAAGCCTTTTCTAAGGAGATTACTGTTTTCTCCAGGGTTTGTAGGTTGCAAAAATTAGCTGTTTCCTGCAGAGTACAGGAAAGAAAACATTACATGTCATCTGCCTCCCGAGAGCTAAGCTGCAGTCCTTGATATTGTGGAGATCAAGCATTTCAGCATCTTGTGAGCAACTTCCCTAGCTATGAGAGAGAACCTCCATCTTTCTTGTCAGCATGATGTTGTCTGAAGCACCGACACAGAAAAACAAAATAAAACAATTTAAGCAGATTGGAATATAAAACACAGAAAAACTCTTTGATAGACATAAAGCCCAAAGTCAGCTCATGGGTATTTGCCTTTCTCAGTGCTATTTTTAGGAGAAGTGGTTTGATTATTTTAACACTTGCAGAACTATTTTTTGAACTAGTTAAGATTCTGTATCTTAATTTTTTTTTAAATAAATTATTGGCTATCCCCTTGCATTGATGTAGATCAGAAGGAATTCCGTTGAAGTCAGTGAAATTATATTAAGACTCTGAGAGGAGCCCCAGACCTGTCTAACCTCATACTTTTTAACATCCTTAGCATTTTCTTATCAGTATCCTTTACTGTGATTAAAGTTTATCCTGCACACCTTCCCTCGAATTCATCTTCTCTGTATATTCTGTGATGTACTTAATACTATCATTCTGTTGCATCAGTGTTAACTTAATTCGGACACTGGTAAAAAATGCCAGTAGGATTTACAGATAAGAGGAATAAAAAGGGTTATAGAAACTTACCTTAAAAAATTACCTTAACTTACGTGACTTTCTGAATCCATTTTTTTGCTAGCTGACTGATCTGATTTTTGTTTTCTAATCCCATCAGGATGTACCCACTAAACTGGTAGCAAAAGCTGTTCCTCTACCAATGACTGTCCGTGGACACTGGTTCTTGAGCCCAAGAACAGAATATACAGTAGCAGTACAGACTGCATCAAAGCAAGTTGATGGGGACTATGTTGTTTCTGAGTGGAGTGAAATCATAGAGTTTTGTACAGCAGGTGAGTTTGGAAAAATATACATCATAGAGGAATATAAATAAAACAAAGATCAAGTGTGCTACATGAAAAGTTTTCTCTTCTGTTTGAGTCAGTCAGATAAACTAGTCCAGTATAAGTGTTTATCTCCGGTACTTGTCAAAATTGGAAATGGAAGGGTTGGAAATTTGTATGTAAACTGGAGCTGCTTCTTTGTTAGGTGGTGAAAAGAAATTCACACCTCCCAATCAGTGCTCCCTCATCAAGAGCACTCAGGCCCAAATCATGTTAAGTCTTTAAATTTCATATATGTGCCACCTAGACAGTTTTTAGACACCTAAGCCACTAAACAGCATCCTAATAAACTCCCACAAAAGGAGTTTAGGAACTACCTGCACAGGTTTGTAGCAGGTAGATCATGCCTGATTAATCTAGTCTCTTTTTATGACCAGGTTACAAAACGCCTGGACGCAGGAGTAGGGGTTGATGTCATATACTTAGACTTCAGGAAGGCCTTCGATACGGTATCCCACACCATACTGGTGAACAAGTTAAGAGGCTGTGACTTGGATGACTGCACGGTCCGGTGGGTGGTGAATTGGCTAGAGGGTTGCACCCAGAGAGTCGTAGTGGATGGGTCGGTATGGACCTGGAAGGGTGTGGGCAGTGGAGTCCCGCAGGGCTTGGTCCTAGGACCGATACTCTTCAAAGTCTTCATCAGCGACTTAGATGAGGGAGTGAAGTGTACTCTGTCCAAGTTTGTGGATGACACAAAAATGTGGGGAGAAGTAGACACACCGGAGGGCAGGGAACAACTACAAGCAGACCTGGACAGGTTGGACATATGGACGGAAAACAACAGAATGCAGTTCAACAAGGAGAAATGCAAAGTGCTGCACCTAGGGAGGAAAAATGTCCAGCATACCTACTGCCTAGGAAATGACCTGCTGGGTGGAACGGAAACGGAAAGGGATCTTGGAATCCTAGTGGACTCCAAGGTGAACATGAGTCGTCAGTGTGACGAAGTCATCAGGAAAGCTAATGGCACTTTATCATGCATCAGTAGATGCATGATGAACAGAACCAAGGAGGTGATACTTCCCCTCTATCGGGAGCTGGTCAGACCGCAGTTGGAATACTGCATGCAATTTTGGGCGCCGCACTTCAAGAGGGATGTGGATAACCTGGAGAGGGTCCAGAGAAGGGCCACTCGTATGGTTAAGGGCTTGCAG